TGGACAAATCACCCCAAGGGGGAGTTCGGGTGGTCTCTTGGACAAATCACCCATTCAGTTTCCGCAATAGGGTCTGCACGCAAGGGAAGGCGCAAGGGAAAGCAGGGCTTTCTCCCCGTGGACCGACCCGTGACGAGATCCTACGCGCGGGCCCATAACAGAGGAGGGGGGAGATCTTAGAGGCATAAGGAGGCAGGAACTGCAAGTATATTCTAGAAGGAGAAGAAGGTCACCTCACTTTAAGGAAGTCAGTACAGAGACAGCTGGAGTTAGCTGAATCAAACAAGATGGCAAGTTGTTATAATTCTATTGTAAATCGGTTACATTGAAGGCAAGATTGAATATAAATATAGAGGTGTACTTACAATAAGGAAATAATAAGAAGATTTGATCTCTTTCTCTCTTCACTTTCAGTTTCCCCTATTCTGGAGGTTATCCTCCCTCAAAGAGGATTTGAGTTGGGCAGCTATCCAACAAGTTCAGGTGAGGCACCCCAAAACGCCCTAAGGTGTATGCCAAAGTCGTTGACACCTCTGAGGCATAAGCCTCAGGTGCAAGAGGCATCGTACGCCTCATGCACACCACATATAAAACGACAAAAAAAAATGAAAAAAGAAAGAAAAGGAAAGTAAAAGAAAGGAAAGGAAAGGAAAAGAGAGGAAAGGGAAAGAAAAAGAAAGACAAGAAAAAAAAGAGAGAAAGACAAGAAAAGGGAAGAGAAGGGAAGAAAAAAGAGAACCCCCTTTCAGGTAGTGCTATGCATCTTCATTCTTCTTAATATAAAAGATTTTTATTAAAAGTAAAGAAAAACGAGATCCTCCTTCCTATTCTTCCTCCTCCCCCTCCTTCCTCCTCATCCCCCTCCTCTCAAAGAGGCTCAGGAGGCTTATGCCTCATGCCTCTAGGTAGTGGAACACCTCACATCACGCCTCCACATTTTAAAACATTGATTGGCATATGTTTCATGTACCAAGGTAACACTAGATCTAGACATTTGTTGAATAAATTTATCTAACACAATGATTTTCTTCTTTCATATTGCAAAACTAAAAGGATGAGATCTGTTTACTAGCATTTAATATACTGCACAAATATATATATACATGAAATTTAACATCTAAGACTAGCATGTATAGATAGATTTTGGATGTACCTTCTGTTCCTTGCATTCATAGGGGCAGCAAAGGCCAAAACAAAGAAAGCTTAGGAAAAATCTTAATATGCCACTTGAACAAGACAATTATCAAGGAATATATTTAAATGCCCAACATAGAGAAACCCCAAGTAAAGACATTTCTTTAGTTTCCTGATTGTTCCGTTTTCTCTGTAATTCATGATTATTTGACCACCATCTATCACCAAAGTAGGAGGAAATGCATTATTAAATGGAAATTCAACAATGCAAATTAAATCAATACTAAAGAAGTTCTAGCAAACTGGTATGAAAAATAAATAGTTAATTAGGCACAGTCCCATAAGGAGGTTATATAAGAAATTAGTTAATTAGGCAGAGTCTCATAAAGTATTATCACTTACCCAAAGACCCACAAAGAAACTGCAAGAAGCATTGCACAAATCATCACCAGTTCATTCCTTGTGATTGGACCCATCTGCTCCAGTTTCTTTGAAGCCATAGCAGGAGCATCTGGTGTATCTTTGATTTCAGGGGGATAGATCAAATATAGGATAAATGGAGTAACCAGAAGAGAAACAAATGCCGGCAAAATAGCAGCCTTGAACCAGGAAATCCATGGACTTGCAATTTTCACCCCAAGTTCCTCAGCCAATTTGAGGCAAAGTAGGTTTTGAGCTGCAGCAGTTAGGAAAAGAGCACTTGAGTTACCAGCGGACTGTCATGCATCAATCAAGAGCCATGAATAAGTTACAAAGATATCACCAGATTACAAACCTTGCTAGACCAAGAGAATAAAATATAAGCTACAAAAAACCAATTAGAGGTGGAACTAAGTTCAATAACCAGGAACTTAAGGCAGATTAATACTGAAAGCATGGAAAGATAGCATAAATAGCTCCTAACAGGGGAAAAAGCAACTAGAAATACATATAAATGGGCCTTTATCCTGAAAAGATACCCATATATCTAGATTTGACCTTCCAGCAAATTCAATTGATCAAAGAGTTAGGATCATAAAAATAAATATTTTATGCCAGGACGTTTCCAAGCTTAAGGCCCACCGATTGGATAGGTCCAGTGTAGACGCTGCCTCGGGTTTATATTAAATCAGATTCAGCAGAAGTCACCTTTAAGATATATTCTCTTTTTTTACTCTGTTTTTGGTAGATATGTATACTTTCAAATTCAAGCCATGAGGAGAATACAAAAAGGAAAATAAGAGGAAGAAGAATGCTAACCTGAAATTGCGACTGAATCAGATAGGACCCGAGCTTTTTGGAGGAGGGATCGCCCGGCTTACTACCGGCGGAAAGCGACAGGGACTTAATAATCGGCAAGAACACACCCCCTGCTCTAGCAGTCGTACTGGGCATCGCAGGAGCAATAAGCGCTTCACTAAGCGTCAACCCGTAAGACAATCCCAACGTACTCTTCCCAAGCCACTTGACGAAGTAAGTCGCAATCCGATCACCGAGGCCCGTCTTTACGAACCCCCGAGCAAAGAAAAACGAGATAACGATCAACCAAATCACCTCGTTGGTGAATGCTTCAAAAGCAGTAGAGAAAGTTAACGTTTTTGTGACAATTGAGGTTGTTAGTCCCAGAAACGCCCAAGCACCGACGGGAAGAGGATTCAAAACCAATCCGGCGATGGTTGACAAGAAGATGGCAAGCAATTGCCATGCTTGCAGAGAGACCTCAACTGGTTTTGGAACGATGAACCGAACGATCACTCCAATGGAGACTGAGATGAGGAAGGGGACGAGCTTTGCTCCTTGGGAACCAGAACCAGAACCATTGGTCTGTAACTTCTCGTCTGAGGTCGAAGAAGCTCGAATCGTTTTATGAGTAGTGGAAGGTTTGGCGAAGGGTTTTGGCTTGATGAGAGAGAGTCGAAAGTGAGAACAGAAAAAAGGAGTTGAAGAATATCTGAAATCGTCGATTGGTCGGAATGTGGGTACCGGAGAAATGGACGAAGGAGGCTCGCCAAATTGTGACAGTGATCGGCGGGATAAAGAAATACGAGAGTAACAGGCGAAGCTGGTGACGGAAGGAGAGTAAAGCGCGAAGCTCTCCATCGTAGAAAAAGAGCTGCTATATGCTGCTTCTTCAACTTCTCTCCCTCCAATTCTCGACTCTCGAGCGACAAGACACCTCCAAAGGTGGAGACGTAGAGGGAGTGTCAATCAAATACCGGTTGGCATGTGAGGAGGGAAATTAACAGTGGAATTCACAAAAAGGACAAACCTCTTTTGAGATATCCGTAAATTGGGTTGGTTGGTTCTGGTGCATCCAATCGTCCATTTGCATTTCTGCACATGATCAATTTCTGAGGCTTTGGAGTTCCGAGCTCCGACCACATTGTCCTGGATTATGTTCGAAGGTTCCCTGTTGCTTAGGACTTTTAGGAGATTAGGACGTTGTCAGGGGAGTTCGTAGGAGTGCAAATGGCATGATCCGATTTGATTCGATCCGATCATGCCATGTGTAATATAAATAATATATTATTTATATTTTATTTTTATAAATTTGGTATATTATTTATTTTTTTAAATATATATATATATATATGATGATTATAATTAAAAAATACTCGTATTTTTTGTTTTTATTTAAATTGGTATATATTATTTTTCCTTTTAATAATTTTTTAACTTTTAAAGAAAACAAGTTGGATCAAATCAAATTCGAAGATCCAATAGGATTTGAATTCAGATCGAGTCCTGTCAAATCTGATTGGATCGGATCCGTTATGAACAGTGTTGGATTGCATTTGAATATATCCTGATTCAAATCTGGTCCGATTCGTTTATATCCCTAGTTCTATGGGCTCCCCACCTATCACACCTCACACACACCCCAAAATCCATCCTTTTCGGCTTTAGTCAGTTAAACGCCCGTTCCAACAGTTTTTATAGTCTTCCAATGGGAATATATGTGCATTATTTTATGGGGAGATATTTCCAATGTAAGGTTGTAAGAGGCTATTCGAACATTGTGAACATGGGCTTGCATTGACCAAAGCCGAACTCCCTACCAAACATCTCTCATACTTGTCATAAGGAGATATTCCCAATTCAAGAGTTCAGATTTGTGCCCCACATTCGAGTGCATATTACCTGCCAACAAAACTCGTATCAACTCTCTACCAACATCTTCTCACACCACACATCTTATACATGGCGGGTCTCAATTTTATGGTGAGTCCCAGTCTCATGGTAAGATACATGGTATTAGATGAAGTTGGTAGAGGGTTGGAAACTTAGAACATGTTTTGTTGATAGAAGATCTCAACTCCTTACATTCACATTTTCAGGGTGCATCATGGGAAATATCTTTCGTACGTGTCAATGGGAATGGGAGATGTTCCCAATACACAATCGAGAGTGGAAGAACAAATATCCCAGTTTGAAGAAAATAATCCTAACCCCACAAGTTTCATAGAGGTTATTGATTTGCACAAAGATAATGACAAATGGTTACAAAGAGATGAACAAATAGGGCTGTTCATGAGAATGCCTAACTCGACCAAACCGACCAACCCGGACTAACCCAACCTGAGTCAGCTGGGTTTTTATCAGTACCAATCGGTTTCGGGTTGGGCAAATATATAACACAAGAAAACCGAAACCGACCCGACCCGAACCGAACTAGTCTTCCTAGTTTGAGTAGTTTCCTACTTAACTATAACTAGTCTTCTACTAGAACTAGAAGGCCCATTAGGCAATTACAATTAGAATAGGCAATCTATCATAGTTTCTAACTTTCAATAATCTTTTACACCAAATAGGCAACCCATTAGGCAATTACAATTAGAATTCAATTAGGTGTCCTTTTGTACATGAGCAAAAGCGAAACCACCCAAACTGACTCAAACCGATCAGCTCAGTTTGGCCTATCAGTGGGTCGGTTTTGATTTCCACCTCAGGTAACCCGACCAGGTCAGGTCAGTTGGGAAAACCCCAATAAACTAACCCAACCCGACCCGTGAACACCCCTATGAACAAATATGGAGACTTAAGTCAAGATAAATTTGGATGAAATACTATATATTTTCATCAAATGACTAATTTCAAAAGGAGAATAAACTACCACGAGGAGATCAATTAAGGAGGACACTAAGGGACATATTCTAACTATAGAAGAGGTGCCTCTAGCGTTCCAAAAATCGGCAAAGATGATTGGAGGTCATGGAGTACAAAATGATCTTACTACCTTACAAAATCTATCTGTACCCACCCTATTTGAATCTCAAAAGGAAGAGTTACTACTCATACCATTGAAGGATGATGTTTGGGAGGTGGTAAAAAATATGAAACCCCACTCAGCCCCCCCGGCCCTAATGGTTATTCTCCATTCTTCTTTCAAAAATATTCATCTATTGTAGGGGAGGATATCTATAATTTTGGGGTTGATTTTTAAAAACAGTTGAATTTCCCAAAGAGATCAATTGCACCAATCTAGTGTACAAGAAGGTTGGGAATATCTCTCAATTCTGGCCAATCAGTTGATGTAAACCAATTTCAAAACAAACTTCAAACTTTAGTGTCAGTGTCAGAGAACCATGTTGCTTTCATTAAAGGCCGACAATGCATAGACAATATAATCCTGGCTCGGGAATTGATCAGCAAGATGAAGAAGCACTAAGATGGGTGGCTATAAAGTTAGACATGTCAAATGCTTATGATATTGATTAGCAGAGCCTTCATTTTACAAGTTTTGCAACTTATAGAGTTTTGCGAAACATTGATGCAAACTTGTACATCAATGTATCTCTACACTCTCTTTCTTTGTCAAAGTGAATGGGGTATCCTCTGACTTATTTCAATTAAAAGACGGTGTCAACAAGGTGACCCTTTGTCACCGTACTTAATTTATTCTTGCTATGCAAATATTCTCTGTGCTCCTCCAACAAGGTATAAAATTAACAAAAGGCCCACAAGTGTTACATCTACTATTTGTTGATGATTGCTTACTCTTTTGTAAAGCAGAAGTAAGAATGATACAAGTACCGCAACTGATTATAACCAGATTCCAAGAACTTTCTGGAGAAAAGATGAATTTATAAAAGAGTTCCGTCTTATTTAGTGGCAATGTGTATCCAAGGAAGAGGAAATTTCTCCTTCAGCTGTTAGGAATGAAACAAATGAACATAAATGATAAATACCTAGGCACCGAATTGTGGATAGGAAGGAGAAAAGGGGAAGCCTATAAGGAGTTAGTTGACAAGTTGAAACAAAGATTATCTTCATGGAAAGCTTCTCTCCTCTCTCTCAAGCAGGCAGGACCACAATGATACAATCGGTTACCCAAGTATTACCTATATATTCTATGTCATCCTCCCTTCTTCCAAAGAAAACAATCTCAGAAATGGAATAACTCCAAAGAAGTTTTTGGTGGCAAGGAAGTTCAAAAAGGAGCTCTCTACATACTATTAAGTGGGATAGAATATGTTGAAACAAAAAGGAGGTTTGGGCTTTAAAAGACTAGCAGAGATGAATACAACAATGTTTTCTAAACAAATATGGAGATTCCTAAGGGAACCACATAGATTGTGGGTCAAAATTCTAAAAGCCAAGTACCTAGCTCAAGGATCAGTATTTACCCAGCAACCAAAGCAAGAACATTCTTTATGGTGGAAACAAATGCTGCAATTGGCAAGTGCTTAAAGTATGATTTCATTTGGCAAGTCAAAGATGGCTCATCCATTAGTGTGTTCCACGATCCGTGGGTGCCTACTATACATGGAGGATTTATTAGTTCATATCATCAAAATCAAGGAAACAATAACTATATGAAAGTTAAGGATTTATTCCTTGCAAATGGGGAATAGAACATATATTTACTGCAACAAATACTTGACCAAGCTTCTGTTATAGAAGTGACAAGAACCCACATCTCTCCTCAATTAACTAAAGATCAGATATTATGGAAACACTTGGCTTCACACATTTTCTTTGTTAAATCTACTTACAAAGTTTTTACCAAATCATTGCCATCATCGTCTAGTCATCAATAGTGATGGTGCGCAATCCGGCCGGTCTTAGTTGTCAACAACCTTGCCTCTGAACTGAGCAGCAGGGAACCTGAAACGGAGAAGATGATGAAGCTCTGGGGGGAACCCGGTGTAAAGGCTTCGAAGCTCAAGTTAGAATCCTTCAAAGGCGAGATAAAACCAGATAGCACAAAGTTTGCATACCATGTTCTTGGGGGGTAGAGAGCCTTTTATAACCACCTCGCGCACTCACTCCTAGGCTTCTGTCAGGTCGGGTATGATTACTTCCGTGCTTCTGCTAGTTCGGGTGTCATCACCTCTGCTGGAGCAGAACCGCCACTGCTCTTTTTGTCAGAG